CCGGGAGGAATTCTGAAAACCGAAGTCTAATAGGAAAAAAAGTACTGATAAGATCCACTGCTATGCCTAAGGGACTCATCCCTCTCAACTTCTTCCCGGCCAGGGGCAGAGGTCAGAAGGTCTTCCACTTTCATACTAATGAGAGGAGAACTTGACACTTGCCTAGCCTCGTGTCTAGGTTTATGAGTTCACAGAATAAAATGTTAAAAAATAGATAGGCAGGCCCGGTGGCTCACACCTGTAATCCCAGAACTCTGGGAGGCTGAGGCGGATCACCTGAGGTCAGGAGTTCCAGACCAGTTGGCCAACATGGCAAAACCCCATCTCTACTAAAAATACAAAAAAAAAAGCCAGAGGTGGTGGCATACGTCTGTAATCCCAGTTACTCGGGAGTCTGAGGCACGAGAATTGCTTTGGCGGAGGCTGCAGTGAGCCGAGATCACGCCACTGCACTCGAGCCTGGGCCACAGAGTGAGACTCCGTCTCGAGAAAAAAAAAAGAAGTAGATAAATAATGGTTCACCTACCTATCCCTACCAATAACTTCATTTCCAGCGTAACACCTGGGGCTCTGTTTCTGAAAAACAGACCTAGGCCGTCTAATCTGGACTCAGTCATTGTAACAAAAATGGAAGTCACTCTCAGGATCCCTCCAGGGTGGATCAGGATCAAACCAGACTCCTCAACTAGCACTAATCTGCACTTCTAGGTCTAGATGGAAACGCAATTCTTCTGTTTCAACAATCTGCATTCAGCTTGATGTGAAACTACCACATAGACTGTCTAGTTAACCATGCTCAGACAATAACAGCTGGCTATTCTACCTCATGTGATCTCAAATGAAAATGTCCATTGCCCCAGTTGCCTCCTCTGCACCACTTTTCTCCGCGCTTCAGGCAAGAAAGGAGCCCAGAGGCCACTGCTACTAGCTCTGCCCTTGGTGCTGAATCATAATCTCCCCTCTATTTTGATCTTAGGCTCAGAATCAGTAATACAATACACACAGATGAGTCCTTGTCCTACTATACAATACAGAGGCTATGAATCAGAGGTAGAAATACTAGGATTTCTGCAAGGACAGGGAGAAGGAGAGGTGCTCAGAGAAATTTCTAAACTATGTTCTAAAATTAGGAAAAGCTTTCATGGTCTTAATTGTAATTTATTTCCTTTTAAGTGTCTATACACTTCTCTAAATAAAACGTTTCACCCCACTGCACAGCTATTTCTAGTAGGGCTATTTCTTCTACGAGTAGCAGTTCTTTTCTCATATTTCTAGTGTTCCAGGATTCTACCTCTGTGCTCTACATGCGGCCTAAGACCTTGTTCAATGCACACAGAGAGAAACCCATTATCATATATATACATACACACACACACTCTACTCCCTTACCTGCTGCTGCGGGCACTCCCATATATACAGACATACACATTCCTTGGATGCTTAAGGCCCTATTTGGTTTAGGTAATGAGTAGTTCTTTTTTCTCCCCTACCCAATAATAAACAAGACCTATTTGCAATACCTCTCAAATCCTCAAAATACTGCTTTCTCCTTTCCCTTGCTCCCAATAGAGGACCTGCAGGTAATAGGATTCAGTTTTATCTCCATAGCGACTCTGGCTCCCAGCACTATTTATAGCAGAGCCACAGCCCCTCCCCTGCTTGGTGACCGCACAGTACTAGCAGCTGCTACTCCAGAGTCGGCCACGGCCCATAACAATTCACTCCCCTTGAACCTAGAGACACTTCTCCCACTGACAGTACCTGCTAAGAATTAGGTTATCTTCTCCCTCCTCTGTCTGTAGTTTGTACTCCGTCCTAATTCTGACTTTTGATACTGATATCTCTACACCACCAGGCTTCCGAGTACGCCGTATATTCATTTCTAGGTATCACCACTGCTTAACAAACCCAAACGGTCCCTTTGGTTCTCCCAGTTGCAACAGAGTCATGAGCAAACTACAGGAGGTGGGGCACCGTAACAGAGCTGCACTCAGCTCCTCCTGAGCAGAATGCAAGGGGGAGAGAAACAGAGAAATGAAATGGGATATGAGTAAAAAGCATGATTTGTTCTAACAAAGAATTATGTAGTTAATCAGTCATGGGATTCGAAAAAAAAAGAACTGTGTAGAAATGACTACAGCGAAAGCCAAAGTATCTCAAAGTAAAACAAAATTTATAGAACCAGAGCTCTAGGCTACACCTTGCAATCTATGTTTATATTGAAAACCAGGAGTCCTCTCCAGTCAAAATCTCAAAGATCAGGCCTGAAGCACCTCCTACTGAGTACGCATCAGGCCCCTCTAGCCTTGGAGGGATCTCAGTCCCTATCCACTGAGAACTATCTGATGAAACTCAAGTCACTCACAATCATTTCCTTCCAGAGCCACAAGGACCCTGAGATCTTGTTATTATTCTAGTTATGGGTAGGATACGATTTTTAGCCAGAATTCATCTAATCAGCAGCCACTGCCTTCAGTTATTCAGACTGCAGAGATAACTAAGATTTTTCTTCTCATTCTCTCCTCTCTCCCCTCCCCACAAAGATTAACATCTTTAACTCCTCTAAAGACTAAACCCTCTAACATCACCCACAACTCACACTCTGTCTTCACAACCAACGAGGCTCCGACTCTTGCCTGTAGCCTCAACCATATTTACTAACATAGAGCCTCTGGTTCCTGTCTTCATGTATTCCAAAAGCATCAAGCTCAAAATGCATATCTATCTGCTGAAGTCCAACATCACCATCAGCTCCACCCAGAGGTAGAATTAGGATTCACAAACTTCTAAGTTATCTATGTCTTTTCAGCAGAAATGGCCATGCTAACCAACCCTTTGGATTCGTCCCTCATTTTGCACAGGATCTCACAGTAAAACCACAGGAACCAGAGAGCAATATGACATCTCTGCTGACGTGAGCACAACAGGAGGCTCTCCTCCCCTCCTCTACCTCCCCAGGCAGTGACCTTGCAAGCTCATCAGCACGGACTGGTCCAGCGTGCGGAAGAACTGGAGCAAGGAGGCTGGCAGCTGGCAGGGTTGGGGTAGAGGGAAGGGCAGGGAAAGGTGGAAGAAGGTAGATACACGAGGATAGGGAGGAGAGTGACTGCAGAAAGATGAAATAGCGTTCTCACTCTCCAGCAAGTCAATTTTGAAACATCAAATTAAAAAAACAAAAAAAAAAAATTATTGAGAACCAAACGTGGCTCTCCAAATTTCAGCCAAAAATAAGGCGCACGCACGCACACGCACAAGCACACCCGCCAAGCGCTGTGCGGGCTCGGGCCCCAAGGCTGCCCAGCTCTGCCCGCCCCC